CTTAAACTCTGGAACAAAACCCACCCTTGTGGCTCAACTTTCAGCTAAACAATAGATACATCTATAAGAACAACAATAATGACAGGGAGGCACTCACTTCTTAGAATAATCAACCACAATGGTTTGGACAGGAGGATTAGTGGAAATAAGAAGCAAAAAAAAGGAAGTGGAACAAGCATAGATATATTATGTGTATTGCAATTAATATCATAAAATGTGTATTAATATTTTAGTAGAAAACTACTTGCTTTGTAAACTTTTATTCAAATCACAATTAAAAAAAGAGTCGGGAGCAGAACAAAGTGAATCTTTGGACTCAGGTCCCTATGCTGAGAACTTGCTAGACCCAGGAGACAAAGAGTGGTATAATACCAGAGATAGTGCATGACAGAAATGAAAGCAAATATCACAAAGAAATGGCAGGAGAAGAACCAGGAGAATGGCACAAGATATGGTAGTGGGCCTCCCAACCCGTAGAACAAGGCAACTATAGTGTATATGCAACTCAGAGAGTGAAAGGGTTGAGCACCTTCAGACAGAAAGTATCCTAGTGGAGTGGAGTGCCTCCAGGCACTTATCAGAAAAACTAAAGAACTTTGTAACACTTGTACAAGCAGGGACAGAGGCCAGAGCCAAGTGAAAACAGGGAACAAAAGTGCAAAGCCCAGCTTGAGAATGAAACCCAATGACAACAGAAAAACGTAGGCATGGACCAGTGGCAACAATAATGCTATGGTAGTCCAAGAGGTTGTTGTCTTGGTAGAATTGCATCATAAATTATTCCTGTGGCTTGCAAGTTGAACCTTATCTTGAACTATTTGGAAGAAGCTATGGCATCCACTTCCTAAATAACATACCTCCAGAAACTCTATGAACTTTGATAAATGTTGATAGGCCTTTTGCTCATAGAGTTGCTATGAGTCGTGCTCGACTTGAAGGCAATTGACAACATAAATTATTACTTATAAATATACTAAGTATGGTCTATGAGTTCTGTGTGGCCATTGCAGCAAATTCTTCCAACTAGCAAAGAAGCTGAGACATCTGGCATCAGACAGAATTGGCAAAAAAAAGTTTGAAGAATCATATATGTTTCTACCTCCACCTCACAGAAATCAGTGTTGGACTGATGCAAACGGTTATTTGATTTTCTTTCTTTATTGTGATTTGAGTGACTATTTACAAATCATGCTGGATTTTTATTCAATCATTCATACACTTTTTGCTTTATAACATCAAGTATAATACCTGGTAAACCTCTAATTGCATATTGTCTTTCTCTTCATCCAGTTTAATAAAGTGTCATCTATGACTAATTTTTACTCCCTTTTCCTTCTCTTACAACACATGGTAACCTTTCAAGAATTATTCCATCTGTGTGCATACTTTTCCTTACCTTTTGATAATACTGATCTTACACAATAATTGTCCTTTGGTGAATTACTTTTGTCAGCATAATTCCTTCTAGATTAATCTATGTTCTTGGTGTTTCTGAAATTCTTTATCATTCTTTCATTCACTCACTCATTCACTGCTAAGGATAGACTCTTTGTTGAGTTTTCAAGACTATAAGTCACAATATGGCAGGAATGCCCATCTTTCTCCCACAGAGGTGCTGGTGGATTTGAAGATACACAGCCTTTGGGTTAGCAGTCCGACTCACTGTGAATTATGTCATGCAAGCTCCTTTACTGCTCTTTAGTGTTTCATAATACTTCATTGTGTTGAATGAAATGGGAAGGATCTTTTGTGAAAAACAATGTATTCAAACTTTTAAAACAAATCAGTACAAAATTTTTCTTTAAAAACCCTTCATTATGTGAATGTACCATCATTTCTTTAACCATCCACCTATGGGTAGTCACTTGAGTTTTTTCTATCTCTTTGCTATTGTAATAATACTAAAATAAGTATGAATGTGCATGTATCAGTTGGTGTCACAACTTGTTCTTCATTAATATATGTGTTCTCGTTGTTGTCATGTGTTGTTTAGTCACCTGAGACTCATAGCAACCCTGTGTATAACAGCTCTGAAGCCTGCCCTGTCCTGAGCCAGTCTCACTGACTCTGACTCTCCTACCCCCATTACCCTAATTACTATATCAGTCCATCTCATCTGGAGTCTTCCTCTCCTGTGCAGTCCCTCCACCCTCCTGAGCATGTTGTCCTCCTCCAAGGATCGGTTCCTCCTGGCCACATGCCCAAAATATGTGAGATGGAGCTTCAAAATCCAGACCTCCAAGGAGAAACTTGGTTTTACCCTCTGTAAAACAGACACATTGGTTTTCTTGGCAATCCTCCACAGTATGTTCAAGGCTCTTCTTCAGCAACACAACTCAAAGGAATCAATTTTTCTTCTGTCATCCTTAGTCACTGTCTAACTCTCTGATGCATAGCAAGTAATTGCAAATTGGTTTCTAAACCAACATCATTGCTTCTCAGTACTCTTGAGAGGTCCCTGAAAACAGATTTTTCCAGTGTCATTCATCTTTTGATTTCCTAACTGCTGGTGCCAAGAGTGTTGATTGTGGAGCCTAAACTACAAGCTGTTCTGTGGGAGAAAGATGGGTGATCTCCTCCCACATGATTACAGCCTCTGAAAACCTGCTAAAGCCTCAGCTATGAGTCAGTTCCAACTTAGCAGCACATAACAGCAATAACAACAGTGGGGTGGCTATTTTAAGGAAGCATCAGGCTGCTTTCCACAGTGGCTGCACTATTTTACATTCCAATCAACAGTGTACCTTTTCTCCCAGACCTCCTCACAATGCAGCCCTTGTTCCAGATTGTTGTTATATATATAATACCTATAGACTGAAAAGGTATGGAGCTAGGATGCATCCCTGACACAATCTTTCCTGATTTAGAGCCCCACAGTGTTTCCTCGCTATCTTCTAATGATTGCTTCCTGGTCCAAGAATAGGTTTCTCATAAGCACAATCAAGTGTTCTGAGATAATCATCCTTCTCACAGTTAGCCACAATTTGTTGTGGTCCACAAGGTCTAATGCCTTTGCATAGTCAATGAAACAAAGATAGACATTCTTCTGTTACTCTCTGCTTTTAGCTAAGATCCATCTAACATTGACTTTAATTCCCCTCATGCCACAGCCTCTTTTAAACCCAGCCTGCACATCTGGCAGTTCTCTGTGGGTGTGCTGTTCCAGTCATATTTTTATCATCTTTAGCAAGATCTTGTTTGCATATAATAATAATGAGATTGTTCAATGATTTCCATATGCTGTTGGATAAACATTTTTTGGAATGGGAACAAACAGGGGTCTCTTCCAGTCAGTTGGCCAGGTAGTTGTCTTCCAGATTTTTTTGGCACAATCTGGTGAGCACATCCAGGGCAGCATCTGTTTGTTGAAATATGTCCATTGGTATGCTGTCAATTCCTGGGGCCTTGTTGGTTCTGTGGGTTTTTTGCCAATTCCTTCAGAGCAGCTTGAACTTCCTCATTCATTACCATTGCCTCTTGATCATGTGTCAGTTCATTAAATTCTTCTATGTTAGCCAATTCTTTTGATATAATGACTTTGTAACGCTGTTTATTGTTTTTAGTATAGTGGCTCAAAGCTTCCTGGAGGAATGTGGCACCAGGATTGGGGGGAAGACTCATCAATAACCTGTGTTATACAGATAGATGGCACAACTTAGCTTGCTGAAACTAAGGAGAACCTAAGGCATTTGCTATGGGAAGCCAAATTTCAGACTAAATATTAATGATAAACCAAATGCTCTATCAGGATATGAGGGAGGCGCAGATAGAAGCTGGAATTCCCCCTGATAAATCCCCATGAGACAGATCACAGGGGTTAAGCGCCACAGCAGACCTAAGGAGTTTACAGGGGTTAAGCGCCAAGGCAGACCTTAGGTGTTTCACAATTCTTGGATTGTATTTTCTAACCCTTCCCTCCTGAGTCAAGCATAAGATTTTCAATAGAAAAAGCTTAGCTTCATTTGCATAGAATTCTGTTTGTGATTTGCTCCCTGGCAATTTTCAATAAAGATACAGGAAAGCTGGGTTTGAGGCTTGAGTTGTTCAAGCTGTTCATCCCTTGCTATACACTCTGTTTTCTCCTCCATTTTTAGTGTCCCATCTCGTTCTTGATTCTTTACCTTCAGCCAACAACAATTTGCTGCAGAGGTCCAGGACTACAGCCTTCAATATAGATTGAAGCTCAACATCAAGAAGACAGAGATTTTTAGCACTGGGCCTATTGGCAGCATCATGATAGACGGAAAAGAGATTATTAACAGCTTCAGCTTGCTTGGCTTCACAATCAATACTCTTCGTACCAGCAGCTAGGAAATCTAAAGACTAATTGCACTGGGAAACTCTGCTGTCAGGAAACTCTCCAGAGTACTGAAGAGCAACAATGTCAGTATAGAGACTAAGGTGAGCCTGATTCAGGCCATGATTTTCACAATTACTTGCTGGATAATGAAGAAGGAGGATAGAAGAAAAATTGATACCGTTGAGTTGTGTATTGAACATACAATGGACTGCCAAGAGAACTAATAGATCTGTCCTAGAGAAGGTTATGCTAGGTTGCTCCGTGGAGGTAAGGATTTTGAAGTTTCATTTGACATACTTTGGGCATGTTACTAGGAGGGACCAGTCCTTGGAGAATGACATCATGCCTGGAAGGATGGAGGGACAGCGTAAGAGAGGAATACCTTGGATAAGATGTATTTACCCATTGACTGGGGTAATGAGGGTAAGTGTGTCAGAGACAATAAGGTTGACTCAAGAGAGAGCAGGGTTCAGAGCTGTGAAGACCCTTGACTAAAAGCAGACTTGGATGAGTGCTGTGGGGGAGGGAGTGGTGAAAAGGGTGGGGACAAGGGTGAGGTGTTTTCCACTCCCCCCACCAGCTCTGGGCTGAAGAGCAGCAAAGTGGAGAAGCCAGGAGCTGGGGATATGGTATCTATTGTTGTTTTCCTGGAAAGGGGAGCATAGGAGCCTGCCGGCAGGTGAACATTACTAAAGACAGGTCACCTGCTGACATCCTTCTCATCTTCTGGCTTGGGCACGGCTTCTAGCAAGTGTTCCCCGGGCCCTGCTTCTTCCTTTTCCTTGGCCTCGCAGGACTTGGAGTTGGGGACCCAGAGGCCGGAGTCGATGCAGAGCTCCACGTGGTGCTTTGTGTCGGCGAGGTCCATCTTGCTGATGGCGTCCTGAAGCACCTGCACGTCCTTCACGTCAAAGCATTTCGGGAGCTCCCCAGGGAAAGACTCATAGATCTCCACGGGGTCCAGGCCGCCGGGGCCAATCCTCTTCTTGAGCTGCTCCTCCTCATACTTCTTCATGGCCTTCTCAATGCACAGCTTGACGCAGCCACGCACGTGTTCCTAAAAATATGGAACGCTTCACGAATTTGTGTGTCATTCTTGCACAGGGGCCACGCTAATCTTCTCTGAATCATTCCAGTTTTAGTATATGTGCTGCCGAAGAGAGCACTGGTTAACAATGGTTAATGTTAGCCATAAAGTGTTATGATCCAAACAGTCAAATGCCTGTGCATAGTCAATAAAGCACAAATAGACATTCTTCCGGTATTCTTTGCTTTCAACCAGGATTCATCTGGCATCAGCCTGAATGTCTGTTAGTTCTCTATCTACAATTGTTCTAGCTGGTTTTGAATGATCTTCGGCAATATTTTCTTTGCTTGTGATATTATTCAAAAATTTCCTCTTTTTGTTGGGTCACCTTTCCTGGAAATGGGAATAAATATGGATCTAGTCCAGTCCGTTAACAGGAAGCTGTTCTCCAAATTTCTTGGTATAGACTGGTGGGTGAGCAGATGCCTTTTTCAAGGACTAGTCCCTCTTCACAACATACCTAAAATATGAGACTACTAGTCATCTAGTTTTTCACTCTACCTTTCACCTCTTTTTTTCACCCATTCTCATCATTCCTGAATTTCAAAGCCTCTCACACTCTTTCTCCAAAATGCTGTCTAAATCTAGTAAAAAGTTAATTTTAGAATGATTTCTCCGATAAATACAAAATAAGAACAGATTTAATGGAATTAAATGTAATTTTGATATCTCAAGCTGAAGTATTTACATTTACTACATTACAAATTTCATTACTGAATTATGTATATGCAATGTTTTGTTCATTGCAAGTACTATTTAAAAAAAAAAAACAGAAGCATCTTTACTCATGAACTTCACCTGAATCACAGAAATCATATTGACTACATCTGTGGAAAAAAATCACTGGAGAAGCTCAATATCAGCATTCAAAACCAGGCTAGGTGCTGATTGTAGAATAGACCATCAATTACTTATGTACATGTTCAAACTGAAGCTGAAGACAATTAAAATAAGGCCAGAAGAAACAAAATATGATCTTAAGGATAAGTTTAAAATAAAAGGGGAAAAATAGGGTTTAGGGATTGAATGCTAATGATCAAAAACCAGATGAGTTATGGGATGAAATCAAAGATATTAACTATGAAGAAAGCAAAAAATTGCTATAAGGACAGAAGAGGGGGAAAAGACAAAAATGGATATCAGAAGAGACTCTGAAAATTGCACTAGAATGCTGAGAAGCCAAACACTTCAGGTTCTAAAATCCATTCATCTGCCTTCTGTTTTTTTAATTTTGATCCATCTGAAGAGATCGCATAGTCAAAGTGTCTCTCACAGCACAGAATTAGCAGAATCTTTCATTTGGAGTTCCATCAGAAAAAGTTAACTATGTATTAGAGTGTCTAAGGAACAAACAAATATGGCCTCTCCCAAATCATCTAGAACACTGAAAGAGAAATATGGGTTCTTTGTCATCACCTTACTGGTACCAGGACAGCCCATGGAACTCAGAGGTCTGGTAGGTGCAGTTCATTAGAACAAAGGTTCCTCCCATAGCCATCAACTCAGTGGATTGCTGAATGGTTTTTCCAACAGTGCCTATGAGATGCAGACACACTCTGTTATGAGGGCAGCACTCTTGGAAGTCACATCATCATAAAAAAATACTCATTTCCGTGTTGTCAACAAAAAATGCCATTGACGTGGTTGTTGATGCTGATGTGTACTCTCAAGTTGGAACAGACTCCTAGCTGAACCTCCAGCAGGTTTCCAGAGGCAGTAAATTACATCTGAGAAGATTGTCCTTCTTCCTCCCACGGAGCAGCTGATGGATTCAAATTGGTGGCATAATTCCTTACCACAAAGTCACCATAATTGTGGTAGCACAGTGGTAATAGGAGACACTTAGCACCACATCAAGAACAAACAGGAGCTCTGGTGGCATAGTGCATAACACTGCTAACCAAAGGCCAACTGTCAAATCTACCAGCTAGTCAGTGGGAGAACGAAAGGCAGGGTCCTTCTGTTCAGGTTTACAGCCTCAGAAACCTGATGAAAGACTTCTAGGAGTCAAAACTGACTCAATGGTTTAAGGAAAATCTATACCTCACATTTCATCTATAAGTATAATAAGCGGCAAACATTTTGCTACAAAAAATATTTTTTTAAATTCTCATAGTATTGCTATTAAGTTGAGACTTAACTTCGATTATCAGGGAAATATAAAGGGGGTAAATTCACATCTGCTCCAAGAGATCACAGGATGGCACTTCATCCCTGCTGCCTCAGCCTCAGCAGTCTGCAGAATACAGACATCTTCCATGTGGGTGAGAGAGAAAAGATCAATCTAGAAGTAAAACTTAGATGACATACAAGAGGAGGAACTTAACTTACATACAACAGAATAATGCTCAGCCATAGAAAAATGAAATCTTGATGCTTACTACACACAGGTGAACCTTGAAAACATCATGCTGAGCAAAATTCATTGCAAATCTCACATGAAATAAGTAAATGTAAAAAGTCAATGTTTATTAGTGGTCATCAGGAGTAGAAGGAATGGGGGATGGAGTATTTTTTTGTTTAGGGTATGCAGGAATGTATGTTAATGGAGGGAAATAATTTGGAAAATAATAGAATGGTTTTACAAGAATGCAACCAGTGTCACTAAACTACATATGTAGCAATAGCTAAATTAGTATGTGCTTTGTTATTTGTATTTTCATATCATACATATAGACAGAGAGAAAACAATTGCTACATCTATCTTCAGGCTCTCCAATAAATTATATATTAAAGCCCTGTGGATGCTGATCCCAGTCTCTTCTGCAGAAGATTTCTTTTGTGCAACAGAGGGTCAATAGGAAAAATGTGGTGAGTGCCACCTGACAAACTTTTCTGCTCATTCAGATTTATCTATACAGCATTATCTTGCCCTTGTATTATAAAAATCAGTGAAAACTAGAAAACATAAATTGTTAGTGTCATTGATGAGACCACAAAGATAAACTTGATGCTAGTAGTCCATGGCATAGTCCATAGGGTGCTGTACTGCTGACCCAATGCTACTGTACCTCGGGCTACTTAAATCCATCAGCAGCTCCATAGGAAGAAAATATAACAGTCTTCTCTCATTTCAGTCTACAGACTTAGAAATCTGATTAAGGGTCATTTGATTGGTAGTGAGTGCGAAGTGAAAAATAAGTCAATAAATAAAGGCAATAAGCCTTCTGGAATAATTATTTCAACCTGTTCATTCTCTTAGCAGCCCATTGTATATTCAATACTCCTTTCCAGCACCACAGCTCAAAGGCATCAATTCTCTTTCTATCATCCCTATTTATTGTCCAGCTCTCTGACACATAGCAAATGATTGCAAAGACCATGGTCTGTATCAGGTGCATCTTAGTCTCCAGATTAACATCGTTGCTATTCAGTACTTTGGAGAGGTCTCTGAGAGCAGACTTTCCCAAAGCAATATGTCTTTTGATTTCTTGGCTGCTGGTGCCAGGACTGTTGATTGTGGAGCCAAGCAAACTAAAGCTGTTAACAATCTCAATCTCTTCACCATCTATCATGATACTACCAATCATCCCAGTGGTGAAAATCTTTGTTTCCTTGATATTGAGTCTCAATCCATATTGAAAGCTGCAGTCCTTGACCTTCTGCAGCAAGTGGTTCAGGTCAGTTTGAGAAAACAAAAAATTGACAAAGATAACTGTCCATTTCTGTTTGTGGAATGAAGAAATTGCAGAGCCTTAGAGTAACTCTTGCCACCACCAACTCTTCCTGCAAGGGAGTACATATGAATTTTATTTTCCATGGGTTACATGAGATGAATAAAGACAACAGAAATGCCCAAGGATTTAAGACAGGGAGGATAAGGAATGTCAGAGCAATAGCACAAGGATGGTATAAAAGCCAAGTGATATAGCATGTAGTGACTTCTAGACCAAGAGCCCAAGATATGGAGTCCAGGCAATGATGTTCTAATAAATTGTTTAAAAACTAGTTCTGTTAAAAGGTATAATTTGTAGCCTGTGCTACCAGTAGAGACCTCTGGTGAACTAGTGATAAGAAACTGCACTGCAATCCCAAAGTCATATGGTCCGAATCCACCAGCTGCTCTGCGAGAAAAGGATGAGCTATCTCCTCCTGTGCAATTAACTGCCTCTGAAAACCTGCTGACTGGATGGTACTCAACAACAACAATATCCAGTACCAGTGGTGTAAATACTCTTGTTGCAAGGTACCATTAATCCATTTCCAACTCAACAGTGACTCTATATTTAGGAGGACGAAACCCTACACACTCCTGCTCTATCCTCTAATTTTTGCTATGTTTGAGCTTCTTGTTGCAGCCGTTGTGTGAATTCATCTCACTTAGAATCTTCTTCTTTTTGAGTGGCCTTCTACTTTACAAAGTATAATGTCTTTCTTCAAGGATTGGTCTCTCCTGATAGCATCCAAGGAGGGTAAAATGAAATCTTGCCTTCCTTGCTTCTAAAAAGTATTTTGTCTATATTTCTTCCAAGATAAACTTGTTCATTCTCTTAGCAGTCTATGATACAGTCAATATCTTTTTTGTCATCACTTATAGGCATCCATTATTCAATCTTCCTAGTTCATCCTGCGTGTGTGTGTGTGTGTGTGTGTGTGTATTTTTAAATGCAATGGCTTGGATTAGGCACACTTTGGTCTTTAAAGCAGCCTCTTTGCTTTTCAACACTATAATTTTGTAGCAAATTTACCCAGTAGAATGCAGCATTTGCTTTATTAACTGCTAGTCTATGACAAAACCCCAACAAGACATCAGTGCATTTGGAACTGGCAGCAGATGATTAGTAGTGCATCACTAAATACTATTTCTACCATACAGATGCAACATATATAAATAATACGATATTACTAAAACACAGAGCAGCATTTTTCACTATCGCAAGAATGTGGAAACAGCTGAAATGTCCAAATCACGAATGGATTGAGAAATTATGGTACATTCACATGATGGAGTACTACACAGTACGCAAGAGCAATGATTTTGTAAATCACTACCTTACGTGAGAGGGACTGGAGAGCATTATGCTAAGTGAACTAACTCAGTCCCATAAGGACAAATACTGTATAAGACCACTATTGTAGAACATATATGAAGATCCAAGGAGGGCAGAGTGGGAGCCAGAGGAATGAGGATGGGCGGCGGTGGCGGTGATGTGGTTAATCATAGGGTCATACAATTTGATGGGTGGAGGGAGGAGTTGGTAAAGGAAATGAGAAAGATCCAGAGTGAAAAACAGTGTATGTGAGCTTAAAAGTAAACCAGTGTATAATAAAAATTACCTTTGAAAAAAATAAAGATATTACTAAAACAGGAAAATCATTATAAATGGTGTGTTAAAAATTACATTTCTTTAATATTATTTATTTAATTGAAAACTTATATTCACTTATATATACTTATGCTAATATTTAATAACAAATTTAACAAACAGCTTATAAAATACCTGAAAATTTAATAGTCAACCAGTACAAATCAACTTGAGCTCAAAAAAGATTTTTCCTAAGAGCAAATAAGAGTCTATCAGACCAGACTATCAAATCAATATGGTGTTAGAAAAGAGTACTGAATATCACATGCATTGTCAAAAGAACAAATAAGAATGTTTTGGAGAAAGTGCAACCAGGGAACCCGTTGGCGGTGAGAATGATGAAGTTTCATCTCACATACAGTTGTTGTTAGAAGGGAGCAGTCCTTGTAAAAGGACATCATGTTTGGAAAGGTGGAGAGTTAGTGAAAAAGAAGACCGTAAGATAGGTAGATTGACACAGTGACTCTAATAATAGGCTCAAGTATATTAGAGATGGTGACAACATCATAGGATAAGGTAAGGTTCGGATCTGTTGTTCACAGAATGGCTATGAATTGTACTTGACAGTACTTAACAATAACAACAACCAGACTAGCCACAGCTCCAACAAAAAGCAAATATTCAGTACAACCACTCTAGAAGGTAGTTTGGCATTTCCTCAACAACTGAACATAGAAATCCCATATGACCTAGCTATTGTACAGCTAGGAATATACACCAGGATAATAGAGCTGAGGCAAAAACAGATCTGTACACCAATATTCATAGCAGCACTATTTACTGTTGTTGTTTGTTGTTATGTGCCATCGAGTCGTTTGCGACTCATAGCGACCCTATGCACAACAGCCTTAAACCCTGCTCTAACCTGCGCCAACCGCACTGCCTCTGACACACCCATCCCGATTACCCCAGTCACCGAATCAATCCATCTCATAAAGGGTCTTCCCCTCCTGCGCTGTCCCTCCATCCTCCCAAGCATGATGTCCCTCTCCAAGGACCTGTCCCTCCTGGCAACATGTCCAAAGTATGTCAGACGAAGCCCCAGAATTCTTGCCTCCAAGGAGTAGCTTGGTTTCATGCTCTCTAGGATGGATCTGTTTGTTTTCCTGGCAGTCCATGGTACATTCAGTACTCTTCTCCAGCACCACAGCTCAAAAGCATCCACTCTCCTTCTGTCCTCCCTAGTCATTGTCCAACTCTCTGATGCAAAGCAAGCAATTGCAAAGAGCATGGCCTGTATCAGGCACACCTTAGTCTCCAGAGAGACACCGTTGCTCTTGAGTACTTTAGAGAGGTCCCTAACAGCAGACTTTCCCATCGCGATACGCTTTTTTATTTCCTCACTGCTGGTGCCAAGAGTGTTACTAGCAAACTGAAGCTGTGAACAATCTCAATCTCTTCGCCATCCATCCTGACGCTGCCAATTGGTCCAGTGGTGAAAATCTTTGTCTTCTTGACACTGAGCCTCAGTCCATACTGAAGGCTGCAGTCCTTGACCCTTCGCAGCAAATTGAAACATACCAAATGAACAGCAACAAATGAATGGATTGAGAAACTATGGAATTCATACAATGGAATACTATGCAGCACTGAGGAGTAATAATTTTATAAAATACTATGCACAGTGGGAGAGACTGAAGAGCATTATGCTGAGTGAACTAACTCAGTCTCATAAGGACAAATATTGTATAAGGCCATTATTGTGAAAATAGAAGGATAACTAGTAAGATGTGTATAGAAGTCCAAAGGGAGAATTAGGGAGGACAGAAGGGCAGAGGAAATCACTAAGATAACAGAGTTTGGTGAGAGGAAGGGGGTTGTGTTGAATAAATTAGGAAAGATCCAATGGGGACCTGAAAAGACAGGGTAAAAGTAGGTATACATCAATTGTGGTTCATTTTATAAAACACAATGTATACGAGTGATCATTTAAAACACAATGTGAATGTAAGAATGTGTGAAAAGCAGTGTACATGAATGATGCACAACGTGTATGAATTTTGTATGCAAGCCAATATAAAATAAAAATTAAATTGGGGGGAAACAGGTATTCAAGGAACACTCCAACAGCAGAAGGTATTCTTCCTACTAATATAAGAAAATAGAAATATTAAAGACTTTATAAACTGGATAAGACTGATCAAAACTTAAAGGGTGTTTGATTTATTGGACTTTTTTTCTCTTTTAGTATCCAGAGAAGTTGGAATATGTAAGAATTATTAGTCATTATAAAATACTAAAAACATTTTCAATGCACTTCTGAGAAATGTGGGAAGATATGTATCTCTAAAACATTTCAAAAAAAAGGATCACCAAACTTAAAGGCCATTCAAATAGAACAGATTATCCTTTATGGTTGACTTTCTTGATGTGTTATGATTCCTGCTTACTGTCAAAACAAAAAATAATGAGGATCAGGGGAAGTACAGTCCTCATAGGGGAAATATTTCAAAGTAGAGTTCCCAAGAGTCAAATTGTTTTTCTCAAGTCTCTTGACAGTATTTTCAAAAGCTAAATCCAAGAACATTTTACTAATAACATAAATTATGGAAAAGTCACGACAATAAGTAGAGAAATCACACTCTATCTAGAGCCTCTAAGGAAGGAAGCTCTCATAGACTCCAGAAATAGTCAGGGTGTTGATCCTCGGAAGATTCTAATTTCATTAACTGCAGAGATCCTGTAACCCATCTCCACAACCCAGAGGGAGGCTCTGAAGAAAGATTTCCTCACCTACTGGGCCTTTCCATCTGAAAATAAGTCAGCCTTTTTTCCAGATTTTGATGCTGTTGCCCATGTGAATCCAAGAAAGAAAAACATTCCTAGACATAGGTCAATTAATTTTTTTTTAGACTTAAGAAATAGCAATAAGAAAACAAATTCTTTAATCTGTCTCCTCCACATCTCACTCCCTACTCACAAAGTTAATGTGCTGCTTGTTGTTGTCATGTGCCATTGATTTGGCTCATACTCATAGCAACTTTGTGTATAACACAATGAAACCCTACCTGGCAATGCACCATCCTTGCTGTGCTTAAGCCCATTGCTGTACCACTGTGTCAGCCCATCTTGTTGAAGGTCTTCCTATCTTCAGCTGACCCTCTGCTTTCCCAAGCATGATGCCTTCTCCAACGACTGGCCCCAACTGACAACATGGCCAAATTATATGGGACGAAGTCTTACCCTAAAGAGCACTATGGCTAAATTTCTTCTAAAATAGTCATTTGGATTTTTACACTCCATGCTATATTCAATATTCTTCACCAACATCACAATTCAAAGGCATCATTTCTTCTTTGGTCTTCTTTACTCATTGTCCAACTTTCACATACATGTATGAAACAGGTGACAATCTCAGCTTAGTATATTAATATGTAGGACATATTAATATGTTAAGCATATTCCTTTTTACGTCAATTGGCTTTTCTTCAGATTTAATGAGAAACATTGTTTTAAAAGCCTTTTTTATTTTTTCTGTTTGGCAGGAGGAAATACAGTACCTGGGTGGTGAATATAGTTAACTGATTGTTAATAAATGGAAATATTAGAAGTTCACACTGACCCAAAGGCTACAACTGAAAAATTCAGCCATTGAAAACTTTTTGGCAAATTTATACTCTGACAGACATGGGGTCTTCTTGAGTTAGAATTAACCTGATGACAACTGATTTTTATAAAGCAAGATAAAAGATGTATCTGATTCAGCATTGTTTTGCAAACACAATAAGTGGCAGATTCCCTAACTCTTAAAATCCTTAGTGATAAACACATTCAGTTCATTGAGATTGGAAGACTTTCCATTTCAAGTAACTTTTAATAAACAAGTTTTTTAAAAAAAATTAAGCTAAAAATACACTTGCAGGACGTTGTTGTTGCTCTTGTTGCTGCTACTATTATGTGCCATCGAGTTAGAAGTGACTCATAGCTGACCCTCCAGCAGATTTTCAGAGGCTGTAAATCATCCATCTTTCTCTTTGGGACAACTAGTAGATTCGAAAGTCCTGCCTTTGGGTTAGCAATGCAAGTCCTTACCACCTCAGGTTTCACCTCCTCACTGTATCCAACCTCTGTCTGTTTCCCTTGTTGTCTCTCACCTTGCCCTCAGTTCCACTCTGATGCCTGTGTTGTTCATTCTCTAGGTAAGATCTCTCCAGGAGATGAAAACAATCAACAGCACACTGTTAACAGAGTTCATCCTGACTGGAATTCCCCATCCAGTTCGGCTAAGAACTTTTCTTTTTGTGTTCTTTTTGTTCATCTACATCTTGGCTCAGTTGGGGAACTTAATTATTCTAATCACTGTCTGGACAGACCCACAGCTCCATGCCCGCCCCATGTATATTTTTCTTGGTGTTCTCTCCGTCATTGACATGGGCATCTCCTCCATCATTGTCCCTCGCCTCATGATGAACTTCACTGAAGGCATCAAACCCATCCCATTTGGTGGCTGTGTGGCTCAACTCTGTTTCTATCACTTCGTCGGCAGCACCGTGTGCTTCCTCTACACACTGATGGCCTATGACAGATACTTGGCAATATGCCGGCCTCTGCGCTACCCTGTGCTCATGACAGCTAAGCTGAGTGCCTTGCTTGTGGCTGGAATTTGGGTGGCAGCGTCCTTTCATGGGGCTCTCCAAACCATCCTAACCTTCCGCCTGCCTTATTGTGGGCCAAATCGGGTGGATTACTTCTTCTGTGATATTCCTGCAGTGTTGAGACTTGCCTGTGCAGACACAACAGTTAATGAATTGGTGACTTTTGTGGACATTGGGGTGGTAGTTGCCAGTTCCTTCTCTCTGATCCTACTGTCCTATATTAAAATCATTCAGGCAATCCTGAGAATCCATACAGCTGATGGGCGGCGCCGGGCTTTTTCAACCTGTGGAGCACACGTAACCTTGGTGACTGTGTACTATGTGCCCTGTGCCTTTATATACCTGCGGCCTGCAACTAACAGTCCTTTGGATGGAGCAGCTGCCCTTTTACCCACAGCTATTACTCCTTTCCTCAACCCTCTTATCTACACACTAAGAAACCAAGAGGTGAAAATGGCCCTAAAGAGAATGGTAAGAGGCACAGGAGCAAAAAGTGAGGTTTGAAAATGTGTATCTTCTAAAAATATAAGAAAAGAAAATGTGTATCTTCTACTGCGCAATCTTTCTCACTTAGAATCGGTTTTATTGTTCAGGTTTTAGAGTTGTTGTTGAGAGAGAGAGAGAATATCTTATTCTTTTATGTAGCCAGATCATATTAGTGAAATAGGGTAAAATAGAGTTTAAAACAAAATGCCACATTCTACCATCCCTTGATAGTCCCTTAAAGTAAAGAATTCTTAGTTTTTCAAATATTAGACAATAGTACTAAACCACACAGAAAATAGAAAAAGATGGCATGTTTAGACATCCAGAAGATTGACATGCCAGAAATATCCAGTAGACTGGGGAGCCTCTGCATGATATTTGTCAAACTCTCTTTTAAAATGGTTATAGTTCTCTCGATAGAAGGCGTCCATCAGTTGTGTTCAGATAGGTTATGTACCGTAGGAGCTAGTACTAAAAGAAAAACTGTAGATGTCCTCTTTGTGCATCTTAAAAGGCTTGATTTTAGAGATACCCTGTGATCTGAGGGAAAAATAAAACTCAACATGAATTTGCCATGACACAAAATAGGACAATTAGTTAGAATACCATCCATGATAATTTACCCACGTTAGTATTTTCTAACAATTACAATGTATGAGCTTGACAAGCTTCTTTTGACTTGGCCATGGCCAAGGAAGTTGTGTGCAGTGTCTCTGATTTCTATTCATTAGCGCCTCCAAACTGATCCTGTTATGCTCCTACCATCTCAATCCCCAGCTTTTTAAACTGCATAGTTGAAAGTCAATGTTCTACATCTTACTTCAGGGAGTAGCAACTGGGGTCTTCAACACTTGAAAGCTACCATCTAACGCACAACTATTAGTCTTGCCTCATCTGGAGCAGAAAAAGAATGAAGAAAATCAGAGAGTTAAGGAAACATTTAGTCCAAAGGACACTTAGACCCTAGAAACTACAGCCTCCACTACCTGGAAATCAATATTAGATAGTGCTACCACTACTGACTGCTCTGATCAAGATCATATTAGAAAGTTCTGGACAGAGAAGTAAGAAAAAAATTTAGACCTAATTCAAAAATATAAAAACTGCCAGACTTACTTGTCTGAAAGAGACCAGTGGATTCCCCAAGATGTGACCCTTAGAACCCCTTCATCCTTGAATTGTAATGAACAGGGATCAACTTTTTTCAGCCAAGTAAAAACAGGTCTAGAGTCAGCTGTGAGTTGGTTCTGACTCAATGGCACATAACAACAACAATATAAAGTGAATAGTATCACCAGTAAGTAATGTAATCCTCTGTATAAATAATTATGACATCAAAAGAGCAGTGTTTGCTTAAAAAAAAACTCAGAAGACAAAAAAATGGTGGCAAAGAAGGATGAATGAGAAAAAGGAACTCAAAGAGGAAATGGAAAGAGTAATGGTCAATAAGGTGACTGCAATCAATGTCATGAAACAAACTGTATATAGTGTCAAATGGAAAACTAATTTGCTCTACAAATTTTCAAATCAAACTACAATTAAAATATATATTAACTGAATGGTTGAAATAATCTTATCTATAAATATTTTTCAGTCATTGGAAATACTCAACAGTTTGATCTTCTGATCCCCAAATGACCCACAAGTTCATCTAACTGATATTGATTACAGAAAACTAGCCATTATCCCTTTTATAAAGATGATCCATCCAACTCTTCAACATTTTGTTCAGAAAACAAATACTAGAACTCAGCTGCCTCACACTAAAATATTATTGATGAAATATGTTCATCTTTCAAAATATTCGATAGCATATTTAATGAATAAATAAGCTTTAACTCTATAGTTGGTGAGTCAAAAATTTCCAAAGCACCTGTTTTCTCAATGTATAGCACAACTGCTTCCATGACTAATGTCTTAACAATTAATTCAATAGTAATAATAATCATAATATAATATTAATAATATTAATAATATTAAAATAAGCTTTTGATGTATAATAAAAATAAGGATCAAAGTGGAATAATTCTGAAGAAAACATTTGTTTTAAAAGAAGATTGGATAAATAAAATATGGTCGAAAGAATTATTACCCAGTCATAAACAGAAATAAAGTTCTCATATCTACTACAGAATTGAAAATGCTAGGCTAAGCAAATCCTTCAGAATCAAAAGGACAAAAATTGTATGATCATACTTATAAGATATGTATAGATTAGATAATTGAATAGAGACAAGCATTTAATTACATAACACTCACTGAAGGCAGATGGAAATGGGAGAAGGGAGTTCATATTGAAAGGATAATTGAATTTCTAAAAATATAAATGGTTGATGATGACAGTTGCACAGCATGGTGAAGAATTAATGTCACTGAATTTATTAATTTTAAAATATTTGAAATAGCAAATTTTTTGTTATATGTACTTTAGAATAAAAAAATTTTACGCAGATTGGTATTTTGTACCCACTATGGCTAAAATTTTAAAAGAAAAAATAACAAATGTTGGTGAAGAGGTGAAGAATTTGGAGCCCTCATACATCACTAGAGGAAATGTAAAAGGTGATCAGAAAAGTAATATCATATATCTTTGCTTAATCTTGATAATTATGTTCTAAAATTTTGCCATATCTTCTCTACAAAATATCTTAGAAGATTTGTTGGGGAGAGAGATGAAGATGCTACTAAAAGATGTTCTATTGTTGGTTTTAGTTTAAGCATGGGTGAGATCCATGCATTCTGACATAACATCGTCACCGGAAAAAATTCCTTTGACTTTCAAGAAATTTTATGCCAATGCAAAAAAAAAAAAAGTGTTGAGATTTTAAATCTCTGCCTCTTCACTGGATAGCTTAATCAATTCACATTTAAATAGATTTCTTAATAAGGAAGAGCTTATTACTACCATTTTGAAGCTTTATATGTCTAATACATTTTTGTCCCTCATTTCATCCAATACTCCCTTCTTTTGTGTTTAGCTGATTTTTAAGAGAACAATTTTTATATCTTCTTTCAGTAAATATTTTTATACATTTTCCTTATAGCTTATATGAAGCTTACATTTAACATTCTAAATTTATAGTATTCTGCTTAGCCATAAAAACTTAATTTCACCCTAGCTCTAAGAGGGATGCAAATCAAAACAACTGTGAGATATCATCTTACCTCAGTCAGAATAGCAAAATTTAACAGAACAGCAAGCAACAAATGCTGGCGAGGTTGTGGAGAAACTGGAACCCTTATTCACTGTTGGTGGAAGTGTAAAAT